GTGCGGTGAAGTTCCTAAAGGAACTCCATCCGCGGCTGATCATTGCTGCTGGTGATAAGAGGGCTGCTTCTTTTCTCGCTCAAAGGCTAAGTATAGCCATTCAGCGGGATAACGCAGCCAGCGTTCTTGGCACGATACCGCGGGGAGTAGGACTATATGATAATTAAGTTTCTAGTTTTTTTTTTATTATTATAGTTTTTAATATTGTATATAATAAAATAAAATATTGTATATTATGTTATGTAAATAAATATATGTTATATCCCATAGCGAAAAGCGAGCTTAAACGTTAAGCCGACAAAAGTATTATTTTGCTTTAATATTAAATGTAAAAGAATACATAATTTTTTCAGCTTATTTATATTCGAAATGAAAATAATTACTTCCATTTTATAATAAATTAAAAAAATATTTAATTCAAAGCTGTTTTTACAATTTGGAAAAATATCTACTAAATTAAACCACTCTTCAGTAAATCTAATTACATATTATGTATTAATTGTTTAAATTAAACTAAGAATTTAATCAGTATAGTTAAGTAAGTCACAGATCTATTATTGTAATACGCGAAAAGGGTAAGATACATCATATTTTAAATTAACGACAAATGTAATACTTAACTTACAATAAATATTTTGAATTTGAATTTATATTAATATTAAATGATTACCGCAATTTATAAATCTTAACTATAACATTTGCGTCGATTGAAGCTTTTTACAAACGCAAAATCAATGAGACAATCATTGATTTCTTATATGATACCATAGACAAGAAATCATAGACTCAAGTCAGCTGACTTAATTTTTATCATTGGTCTTGTGATAAGTTGTGATCTCCGCCATTCTCGGATCATCTTTTCAATCTTTGCCGTCCCGTGAGTTAAATTTTTATATTTTATGTAGTAAATAAGTTTATATCATTTAGAAAATAGTTGTGTTTGTGTTATAAAAGGTGAGTTATAATATTTTAATATAGTTTTTAAATACGTTATTAGTGATTCCGCCATTGTCAAGTTTTCTACAAGTCTTGTATTGTCACACATTTTTACAGTTTTAATGATTTCTTTACAACGATTTTGCTTTATATATCAGTTTCTTCCCCCTGTTATGAAAGGGCGTTGGCAATGATGCAATGATACGGCTAATTAACGCGTCCTAAATTTTGATCCACCCATCGTATCATGTGATTGATGTTTCTCCAGAGTTCCGACCTCAAAAACCAGTAATAATTTCAAAGTGCTTAACACCCATGATTATGGGGACTGATATTTTTGACATTCTGATGTTATAGTTAACTTGCGTCAAATAAAGCTTATAATTATGAAATTATGCTCTTAGACATTTTTTTGCCTCAAAAGATTTTGTTAAATGTATTCTTATGTATACCATAAGATGAAAAAAGGCATTAGTGAATATATAAGGAATGTGTGCAGCTGCTGATAGACCCATTTATATGGGTAATGCAATCTGTAGATCTGTGGGCATAAGCCAGAAAAGTTTCATGGCTGCTAGTCAATGTCAGTATAAACCATCATGTTTCAAATAGAAGTAAAATACACTTTTATAAGTTGAATACAATAAGTCATGTCTATGTATCTCAATATCACCATGTAGTGATGGTGTAAGAATGTCCACTACCCCATATAATTACATTGGGTGTTGTAAGAGGTGACTGAAGGAACAAACGAGAAGATGGTCAGCAGCATCTACTTTTGTATAAAATACTAGTGATCCGCCCCGGCTTCACCCGTGTGATTACTGGATCCCAACAACAGCACCACCCACTGGGTCTAAATGTGAATTTAAACAATCTAGGGACCCATACAAACGCAAAAAAATTTCTTTAAAATCGGTTGTGCCGTTTTTGAGTTTTAGCGAGACTAATGGACAGCAATTGATTTTCATATATAGAGATTATTTTGTAAATTATGCTATAGTAAAAATCTCGCCCAGTTTCTTACTGGTTCTTCCTAGGACAGTGTTTTTCTGAACTAGTTGTAAAGCTTAAATGACTTTCAATAAGTGTTCTTGTAATCTGTATTTAATAAAAATGATTCTATTCTACTTAATAATAACTAGAAAATAAAAAAAACTATGGTTGCCAACCTGTATGCCAAGTATGACAATTTTGGCAAATATTTTACCCTCTTTGTCTATGGGACAGGATAATGTTGAGCAGTGGACTCTCGATAGGCTGTAACTGTATGTATCTCAATATATGGTACAGAAATTGGTAATCAACAAGTGAATTGTGGAGATTATGGCAAGACTTCATTACTACTGGAGAGACCCATATCCAGCAGTGTCTAATACAGGCCAATACAGAAAACAAAAAAGAAGCAGATAAAATGCTTTAATATACAGGATTATTTTTCAAAGAGTATCCAAATTTTAAACTTCAGTTCAAATATATAAAAAACAATATACCATTATTTTAGTTTTTGAAAATTAGGGATTGAAAACGATTTCGGTACCTATACCGGAACAGGAACCAGAACCTAAATTAGAACCTTTAAGAACCTTTATTTTACCGGTTCCTAAACAAAGCAAAAGCTAGTCAAAATTTGTTTGAGGTGCGGTCGGGTAGACGGTGCGATACGGCGCGCGGCGGAGTGTGAGTGTATCAACCCCCAACTCTACGGGAGTCAATGGAAAGCTAAGCCATTTTCCACGACAAAATGAATTTATCAACTAAGTTAAAAAACAAATATTGTCAATCCTCAACGGAACGGATATTTTGAAATAGCATCGACGGATTTGGAGATATTTGATTATAGGTTCTCGGAACCGGATTTTGACCCGGTACATCAGAACCAAACCGGAACCGATACCGGAACTGGAACCGTACCGAAAAGAGGAATCTTTATAAGAACCTAAATGAAGAACCAGAACCGAAATTGGTACCGGTATTCAATCCCTGTCGAAAATACTCATATTTAAAAAACTAAATAAGGCTTCCACTTCTATTTAAAATTATCCCAAATTATATAATTATAATTATATATAGGACTTAAAAATTAAAAATATTAGCCCATAGCAATATGGTGTACAGGGTTATTTTTTAAAGAAACTCCAAATTTTATATTTAAGTTCAAATATATAAATAATGATGTACCATTATCACAGTTTTTGAAAATATGACGAAATAAGACTTCTACACATATAATTATACTCTTTTGTATGTGATTCAATCTACAATGTTTTGCCGAACAATTGATCCTTATGAATGTGTGTGTATGTAGTAAAATAGTCAAAGGTATATATATAATAATAACAAAAGGACAGATTTTTTTTTAAATTAATTTTACTTACCCATTTGCCTATATTACTTATTCTGAGCCTTCTCTGAGAATTTGGCTGGTAATTGCAAAATAACACTATTATTTCTAGTATTTAGTTTTTTTTTCTTTCCTATTTTATGGAAGTTATGATTAATTGGCCAATAAGTAGTTAAGTTAAAGCAAGCTTTTAATGTGAACAGAATATTATGTGATGGATTTTGTATATGAGGATGATGATACATAGGGAATGTAGATTGAAACTAAAATTAAAAACTGAAGGTAGCCTAAACTCATTATGACTTCTGAATGATATCAAAACAAAGAAATGGGTATAATATATTACTAAATATACAAATTATATTTAAAAATCGCTCAGTGGAAAATATTTTGGTAAATATGCCATAGTATTCAAAATTTTGTTTGAAATTGACATTGATTGATGATAGATTATGTTATCAGTGGTAATCCATTGATAGCAGCTTCAAGTCAGCTGACACATCTGTCAGTTTGTCCACAGGCTACAAGGTGGTAGTGGTGTGTATATTTCAAATATGTTTTGTGTCTGGGGATTTATTATTGTTAGTATTTCACAAGTAAAAATATTCTCAGTCAAATGTAGAAGTAAAGGGATTCTGATATTACACATACATATTATGTTAATACATTTCAATAACTCATAAGTTATGAAGTATGAAATAAAACTTAAATACAAATCAATTTATTTATGGTTATAACTAGGTGTGGCTAGTTGCTAGTGGGTTAAGGTTGAACCACCCCAGCACTACCTTAATCTACATAAACTCAAAACTAAAACTAAGTTATAGTCTTATCTAGTTAGATTGTAATGGGCTATTTAGCGCAACCCCACATCTAAAGTGTATTTTGCATGTGGGTAGGAAATCTTTAGTTATTCAAACCCAAACCATGATATCTTCTTAAAAAAGTTTAGTAAACCCTTAATGTTCTGATGACTTTATGCATAAATATTTTTATCTTCTTATCAAATCTTTCTTATTTATGTATGTTTCATTAATTTATTATTTATGTTTGACTTTGACATTTGTTTTATATTTCTATGCACTGTGATTGAGGTGGTCACTAGATGAAATAATCAAATATAGAAATTGTTCTTGCCAGAATTGGATATTTTAAAAAAAAGAATAAGGGTGACAGACAAGCACTCCACTTGATGGTAAGTGGATGTTGTGGCCTGTAGACATCCACATTTATTCTCAATCAAGAATCAAAATGCAGATGCGTTGTCACCCCTGAGAACTATGATGTAACAAGAAGTGGTCAAATTAGAAATAGTAATATCTAGAAGAGTTGTACTTGTGTTATGCTATTTACTTATTTCATCATAACACTAATGACAATTATTGAAGTGACAGTACCCTAATGGCAGGGTGCGGACCGTGAAATCTAAAGGTTGTGGGTTCGAATCCACCATTCGACCACTGTCGTGAACCACTCCCTAACACAAGCATTTTAAGATTACCAAGAGTGGTTTCTGGAAATATTAGTAATGTTTTATTAGGATTGCTAGTATTTAAAAAAATATATACATTTGGTCAATTTACATATGATTATTTAATTATTTATGATTATGTGTAAGCAATATATAATCTGATAAAACTATTCAGGGAAAAATGGAAAGAGAAAATCAAATTATAAGGTACATTCTTTCTTTTTCAGTAAACAGAGCTGCTGATTCAAAATGGCGTCGAAGGGCGGTTTAAAGAAGATCGCCAACGAGGAGAATGAGGAGAGATTCGGATATGTGTTTGCTGTGTCAGGTCCTGGTAAGTGTAGTATATTATATACTTTATATTGTGAAGCTACAGCCTGTTACACTTGTGATATGAGGTGGCTAGCGAAATACTTATTGAGTGTATTTTGGCGATGCACATGTGTTACTACTGCAACTAGCCAGTGCCCAACACCACAAGCCTCACTTTTATTTTTTAGGTCGTTGTAGAGCAAATAGGCAACTGTACTACTTGATATTTTTTCTTACTTTAGTATAATACAATTATAAAACTATATTTTATGCAAAATTATTTTTTATCTTTTAAATTTTAACTAATTCTTTTATTTACAGTCGTAACGGCCGAAAAAATGTCCGGCTCTGCTATGTACGAGCTGGTACGTGTCGGTTACAATGAACTGGTGGGAGAAATTATCCGTCTAGAGGGTGATTTAGCTACCATTCAGGTGAGTGATGGTCAGAACAGCATTATTTATTATTGTGCATAATCAGCATTTATGTAGGATGTACTGGGTGGGCTCTTTTTTAAATATATGCAAATTTTCGATAAAGTTATTAAAACAATTTAAATCTTAATTTACTGGACGATTACACAACAATTACAATAGCCTGTGCAGTGGTGCAGCAAGAATATTCACTACCCCATATTGTTCCGTGAGTGAAGTAAGCGGCGACGGAGGGAAACAAACCTGGAGATAGACAGCAGTTTTTTCCTAATAACAAATAAAAAATATGTGGCTGCCTACCTACATGTCAAGTGTCTCAACTATGACATATATAACTTTATGAAGCATTCAATGGTTTGTGTTCTGCAGTTGACTTTAAATAGGTTGTAATGGTGACCGTTCCTAAAAATTACTTCAATTTAATTAAATTTCCATGCTTGTATTATGCTTATATTAATAATTTTGTTTACTCTTCTTCTCTAGGTATATGAAGAAACATCCGGTGTAACTGTTGGTGATCCAGTACTACGAACTGGCAAACCCTTATCTGTGGAGCTTGGCCCTGGTATCCTTGGATCCATCTTTGACGGTATTCAGCGTCCATTGAAGGACATCAACGAACTCACTCAGTCCATCTATATTCCCAAGGGAATCAACGTTCCTTGTTTGGCCCGTGGTATTGACTGGGAATTCAACCCACTCAATGTTAAGGTATGTTTACTGAAAACTAAAATATTATCTTAAACATTAATTAATTTTTGACAAGTACAGGCAGTACAGAAGTAAAATGTTTTTTCCGTAGGTGGGATCTCATATCACTGGTGGTGATCTATATGGTATTGTGCATGAAAATACCCTTGTAAAACATAAGATGCTGATGCCACCCAAGGCTAAGGGTACAATTACATACATTGCTCCAGCTGGAAACTACAAAGTCACCGTAAGTGTTTTTTAATTCTTACATTTGATTATTCATCATTACAACCCATAATTAGTCCATTGCCTACTCTGCATGCTTCATTAGATTTTTATTCCATCTAGTGGGTTGCCTTGGCCTGCAATGGGCATCTATGACTTCTGCCACTAGGGCGGCGCCACTTAGAAATGTGGTTGAAATATTTGACAGATTTCATAGCGAGGGAAGATAATTTGTTAGAAAAGTGTAGAGATTAATGTATCTTTCGGAAATATTAGTTATATTTTATATTAATTTGGAAGTAAAGACCAAAGAGAATATAATCACTACATTTAAGAGGCGGGACTTCCATAGTAAAAGTAAATGTATGAAATTACGCCAAGCTACTCTACCAACATCAAGATATGATATTTAGTTTTTGAGAAACAGTGCTGACAACATTGACAAATTACGATAGTGCTGTAAATGTCTATACTTGAATAATTTTATCGATATAACCTTTATCTATATATTGTTTATCGATATTTTTACAAAAGATATATTTTGATAAAAGTTAGATCTCTATACTGAATTTTATGAAAATAAACTTTTTAACGTGAGGATTGAGTAAAAATGCCGATGAGGATAAGAAATCAATGTATTTTACACAGCAATTTGTAATTATATCTCTACAATTATTAGGTACAAAAATATGTAAAAAGAAAATATCAAATAAAAACGCATTATTATACTAGTACCTAATTAATTAAGTGAAAAATAAATGACGACTCCGGAGCGCAGTGGCTACGATTTTGGCTATGGCATTGCAGGACCGAGGCTTCGTTCCCGCACTGAACAAGTGTTGCTATGCTGTAAAATAAATAGTAATGAATAGTCTGCGGCTGGATGCTTGCTTTCAATGTTAGTTTTTTATAGGGTAAAAATATAGGGGTTTTTAAACAATGATTGGATTAAATTGCTTTTAAGTGTAATAAATACTACGTACAAATTGCTAGGCTTCTTCACAGAGGTACCTATGTACATACTACTCGCAAAGATCGTTTACTAATTGTCGCTTTAAAAATGAGTGCTCATTATAGCTCATGTTTCTAAATGAATCTATAAAAATAATTATTTTTAACTACGTAATTACAAATAACTTTCAGTTTATATATAATCGAATTCTTACCAAAATATGACTTTAGAGGGATATTATCTTTTGCTACATGTAAATGAAACCTTATTAACATACACATAATTGTGGAAGTTTAAATTAAATCCACTGATGAAATAACAATTCGTTTTAGTTGGGTTCAAATGCAATGTTTGCCACAAATATGTTTTAACATGTGAATCTTTTCAATTGGTGCATGTACCAGCTATTTCACCCATTGCTTGCATCTGAAAAAATAATATAAATAAAAATCACATTTTTATTGAACAAATAGAATGTTAGCAGTCACAACACATAACTTTCATCATCTAAGGGAAATATTGCTATGAATAGCCTTTTCTTGTAATTTTTTCCGCTTCTTGCAATATTTAATTGGAAAATTTTATAAAAAAAAAAGCATAAACACTCACGCCTGTCACCCAGAGGGGTAGGCAGAGATTATGGACTTCCATTTGGCACGATCCTGACACACCTCTCTCGCTTCCTCCACATCCATATACCTACGCATACACGCTCGTCGGTTAAAGGTACTCTTGATTTGGCCCATTTTTAATATATCGCCAATTTGGTCGATAAACTTTCGCCTAGGGCGACCCTTCCCGACTATGCCGTTCACCTCTGCAACATTAATTTGCTTTGTCACTCTTTCCTCATTCATTCTTTCTACATGGCCAAACCACCGAAGCATTCCATTCTTAATCCTGGTCACAACATCATCTTGCAAACCACACTCTTCTCTTATTAAACAATTTCTCACTCTGTCATTCAGCTTCATCCCTAACATACTCCTTAATGACCGCATTTCTACAGCATTTATTCTACTCTCATGCTTCTTCTGCCACACCCAACTTTCACTACCATACATTAAAGTAGGTACTAACACAGCATTGTGAATTGCCATACGTGCCTTTTTGGACACATTCTGACTTTTCACAATAGAGTGTAGAGCCCCATTCACTCTGTTTCCTGCATTCACTCGTCGTTCTATATCCTTATCATATCTACCATCCCTGCTAAACACACATCCCAAATATACAAACTCATCTACTTGCTCTACCAACTCCCCTTCTATTCTTATTTCACATATCGTTTTACTTTCTTCTCTTTCAAAAACCATAACTTTCGTCTTACTTGCGTTCACTTTCATTCCCTTTTCTTTTAATGTCCTGTTTATTAATGTAACCATCAACTCGGCTGCCGACGATGCAAGTATGACTTGATCATCGGTGTACAAAAGGCATTTGACGGTTAACTCACTCATTCTTAACCCGCATACTTCTATTTTCAAATTTTCCAAACAACTGTTCATAAATAGGTTGAACAACCACGGGGAAGCCACACAGCCCTGTCTGACACCTTTATGGATGCCAAACCAGTCCGAGTAGGCCCCGTTGATCCTGACACAAGCACTAGAGTCCCTATATAGAGACTTCAATGCCTGTATCAGACCAGCGGTCAACCCAAATGAGTTCAGTGTTTGCCATAACACATCCCTGTCCACTCTGTCATAAGCCTTCTCCAAGTCTATGAACACACAAAAAACATTTTGGTTTTTGGCCAAAAACTTCTCCGCGATCATGCGCATGGAAAAGACCTGATGCGTACATCCCATTCCCTTTCTAAATCCCGCTTGCACATCCCAAATTTTATAATGCATATTTAATTTTTTAACAATTCTGTAAATTAACGGCTCCTATTGCAAAATGAAATGCAATCTTAATAAATAAAATATATACAAATGTAATTGTTTGATTTGACATTTGACTTATTTCATTTCACAATGTTGTTAATAGACATATTACGAAAAGCTGAAAGAAGAGATAACCGTCATTAAAATTTGACACCTGTAGTACATATAATTTTTACTATGGAAGTTGCACCAGCCTGGTAAAGTCTAGAAATGAGTTGGGGGGGCGGGGGGGTGGCTCGAACTTTAGGCGTAGTCAGTTTAAATAGCCTATCATGTAAAGGATGTCATGGGGGGTCATGGTTGAATAGGGGCAAAAAGTTCTCATTACACTTCTAGGGGGTCAAAATGGCCAAAAACCAAAAAATTAAAAAGTTACATAACAAATAAGTTCACTTTAATCCCAACTAGCGACATCTGGTCAATGTATTATGGAACAAATGAGTTACCACATCTCTATCATGTTTAAACAGTGGTATTGCTGTTTGTAATGCTATTTATTGTTTCGTTCAGGATATAGTGCTAGAAACAGAGTTTGATGGTGAGAAGGCCCAGTACTCCATGTTGCAAGTGTGGCCTGTACGTCAACCCCGCCCTGTCACTGAGAAGCTGCCTGCTAACCATCCACTTCTCACCGGTCAGCGAGTGCTTGACTCTCTTTTCCCGTAAGTGTTGTTATCTTGAAGAAGAAACAAGCATATGTTATAAATAATAAAGTACTTTTAACTTCACTGCTGCTGCTGCTTAGGCTTTTTTAAAAATATATCGGTTTAAATTATTACAAACTTGGAAGATTTGCATCTGCATGCTCTTTTTTTAATAGTAAGAAATGTGATAAATAACTGTCCACTATTTTACTAACTGTACTTTCTTTGATTAAGAATCAAAATGCAGAAGCGTCACCCCTGATATATTTTTACTGGTAATAAGGCATTAATTTACTAAATCAGTAAAAATAGTGCCTCAATTTTCAAATGTTTTTGCTTATTTTGATGCTCTGCTCAATGTTTACTGCAAGTTATTTAATGCAATGTGAATTGCAGGACTTATTTATCAAAAAGTTAAAAATATTTATTAAGCAAACATTGTTTATTAAGGGTTATTTATTATCCCTTTATTGAGAACCCCTGGGTTGTGATCACTACCATGTTGTTTCTATCTATGTATAAGTAGTATGAAACTATTTAGAATATAATAATCAATTGTAAAATAAAGCAAGTCTCACTAAGTTTCTTGTTGGTTCTTCCTAGGACGGAGGTTTCTTCCAAACCAGTGGTAAAGCTTAAATGATATTCAATAAGTATTCTTGTAACCTATGTTGAATAAAATTAATTGTATTCTATTCTATTGCAGCTGTGTCCAAGGTGGTACGACTGCCATTCCCGGCGCCTTCGGTTGTGGCAAGACTGTCATCTCGCAGGCGCTCTCCAAGTACTCAAACTCGGATGTCATCATCTACGTAGGATGTGGTGAGCGTGGTGAGTAAATACATTCACTTATTTCTGAAATATATATATATCTGAAATATATATATATATATATATATATATATATATATATATATATATATTTAGGTGTTGAACTATATACTGAAAATGGACTTTGATACCAGTCAACAAAGTCTGAATTTATATTATAACTATTATTATAAATGTTAAGACCTTTCATGTTATCCGTTTACTGGTTAAAGGAGAAGGAGACGTCTCCATACATTTTTGAGCCCACATGTTAACAAGATGAAAGTAGGACCATTTGAAAGCATATATATAAACAATTCATAGCTGAAAATTTGGCAAGATTTGTCAATCTAGGAGCTGAGTTGTTGTAGAGTAAGTAAAAGTGAGATTATGTCTTACCTACACTGGTGGTACCTACAGGTGATTTTTCACTGTTATTACACTGTAACAGGCTATTTTTCATTATATTTACTTAAAGCAGGATCAGTATAAAATCACTAAAGGACAGCTGTGGGTAATAAGGAAACGAAATGGTTAAACGATTAACGAAAATAAAAACAACAACAACTAAGTGAAGTGAATATTAGGGATATCGATCTGAGATTGATTACTTGAATTGTTGTTGTTGCTGTTACTTGTTGGAATGTTGATACTTTGTATTTTTTATTATTATTTTGTAGATATGTTCGCAATTATTTTTTATTTCCCTAGTAATAATAATCCAAAATAGATATAAAATATTCGATTAAATCGAGAATCGATTGTATTGCACTCGTTTCAAATGAATCGAAAATCTGTCTTATTGGAAGATAAAGTTCAGAAAACAAGACTTTCACCAGTGTATTCTTTATGGTAATCGATTTATTCTCACATAATGTTTATTTTTCTTTTCTCCATAAGCAAATAATATACCTAGTCAGGTCATAAGTATTGTCACACAGTAAAAACTTTTCTTTTAAAATGCTGGCCACAAAAAAGTTTATTGAATTCGAATTTCAAATTGTTCATGAAAATAAAACTGTATACTTTTTAGAATTTTACTCATTTTTAAATATGGAGTGGACGCTTAAAGAAGACCGTGTTGCAGTTATTGCGTTGCATCGTTGCAGTTATGCGCCAATTCAAATTTTTGACATACTGAAAAATTTGAATATAACCAAAAGATTCGTTTATCGTACCATCAAACTATACAATGAAGACTCTAGTGTAGATGACAGGTCAAGAAGTGGTCGCCCTTGGTCTGTTAGGACTCCAGCAGTGATAAAAGCTGTGAAGGCGCGAATTCAAAGAAATCCCAAACGTAAGCAGAAACTGTTGGCCCTTCAGAACCGGTGTTAAGCAGTTCAGGGTTAAGCAGAACCATGGTGAAAAGGGTGTTAAATGAAGACTTAGGGCTTCGGGCATATCGAAGAAAAACAGGACATCGTTTGAATGCTCGTCTAATGGACCTGAGACTGAAGAGATGCCGCGCTTTGTTGAAGCGGTACGCGGGAAAAAATATCGGGAAATTCTTTTTTTGGATGAAAAAATTTTTACCGTAGAAGAGAGTTACAACAAACAAAATGATAAGGTGTACGCACACAGTAGTGAAGAAGCGAGCAACCGTATTCCGCGTGTCCAACGAGGTCATTTTCCATCCTCGCTCATGGTATGGTAGGGAGTTTCTTATTGGGGCTTAACAGAGGTACATTTTTGTGAGAAAGGTGTAAAAACGAATGCAGTTGTGCATCAAAATACAGTCCTGACGAACCTTGTGGAACCTGTTTCTCATACCATGTTCAATAACAGGCATTGGGTATTCCAACAAGATTCGGCGCCAGCTCATAGAGCGAAGAGCACACAAAACTGGCTGGCGGCGCGTGAAATCGACTTCATCCGGCACGAAGACTGGCCCTCCTCCAGTCTAGATTTGAATCCGTTAGATTACAAGATATGGCAACACTTGGAGGAAAAGGCGTGCTCAAAGCCTCATCCCAATTTGGAGTCACTCAAGACATCCTTGATTAAGGCAGCCGCCGATATTGACATGGACCTCGTTCGTGCTGCGATAGACGACTGGCCGCGCAGATTGAAGGCCTGTATTCAAAATCACGGAGGTCATTTTGAATAAACTTTAGTGTCATAAGAATCTATGTTTTGTTAAGTCCATTTTGGTATATAAATGGTTACATAATGAATAAACTTGTTTCAATTATTTTATATTAAACATGTGACAGAATTTATGACCTGACTAGGTATTTTATTTCCAAATTAATATATCATTCAAATTAAATAATATAATTTTAATGAAACCTTGCAAGCTTTTCCGAATAAATATTATATTTATTCAGATCCCAAAAATGTATTTCTTATTGTATTATTTTTTCGAATTCTAGATTGTACTTTAGAAAAGTACAGATTTTTTTAAAGTATAATCAATTAGTTAACTTCGTTTAATTAAAAGTAGGATCACCTGTGGTCGAAAGTCGACCAATTATGTGACAGCAACTTTTAACTTTTTTGTATTATTTTCCATTGGGAGGTTTAGCCTTGACTGCAGCTTGATTGTTACTAATTATCGTTTAATTATGTGCGTGGTGCGATTTTGTGTATTAATTTGTTTTTAAATTGCATGTGTACTGAGTGGAAACTATGTAACAAAATGCTATAATGGTGATATAAACCCCAAATTGTTTAGTTCGCTTAGGTGCCTAGAGGACTTGGGATGCTATCTAACATCATCAACTGTCTGTTTGTTTAAGCTGCAGTCAAAATCTCCCACAAACATCGCAATGTGACGCATCCAACATATTGTGAAGAAATTAGTAAAGTATATGTCGCAGTCAACTAGCCTTTTAGTTAGCACCCTAGCCTTCTTACTAAGTCTCGTTTAATGAATTTAATAAGGTGACCATACCATGCATTAAACATAACATAAATACATGATTTTCTGCGCAATCTATGGCGTAGAACTTTCATTCCTCACGAGCATAAATAGTGAATACTAAAAAGATTTACTTCAATTTTAGATGTTCATTTATTAATATCATATTGATGTTAAATATTATATTATATGACCTTGATATTGTATAATATTTCAAATATTATACAAGATGAAGGTCTTATGTGTCATCGATACAGAGGGAAAATCAAATCGCAAGGAAACAAACAAAGAGATACAAACCTAGGATCTGAGGAAAATGATCTAGGACTACGTATTTTCTGCCGACTTCCAAAAAGGAGACGGTACTCAATTCGACGCGTATTTTTTTTTATGTGTGTTACCTCATAACTTTTTACTGGGTGGACCGATTTCGATGATTCTTTTTTATATGAAAGCTGATACTTCTCGTGTGGTCCCATATGAGTTTTATCAAAGTCAGACCAATAGTTTTTGAGTTATTTGAGTTATTCTTAATAACTTATATTGAAGTCGTCTGTACAAAATTTTAAATTTTAAATTATAACTATGACCAGTTGGTCATTACAAGTTAAAAATTAAACAATTTTTGAAAATAAATACAAAATGCTAAATTTGTTGTAAGGTAACGAGATGTCAGAAGTATTGCGTGACTTCCCCGAGCTGACGGTGGAGATTGACGGAGTGACGGAGTCCATCATGAAGCGTACTGCCCTCGTCGCGAACACCTCCAACATGCCTGTGGCTGCCCGTGAAGCCTCCATTTACACAGGTAATATTATTTTATAGTTCATAAGATACGTTCTAAGTCGTAGAGCCACCCTGCAGCTATATTATGGTTGTAGCACGAATGGGTCGGCTCGGCCAGGAAAGCACCACATTCTCAAATAATATCAGCGTTAAATAGCAGCTCAATGCTTTTGTTTCGTATGGTGAGTGTAGAGAGCCGGAGACTCTTTTTACTGGAAATGAGGCATTCCATCTTAGTCCTCAGAGTGTGACAACCCATCAACATTTTGATTCTTCAATGGGGTTAGATGTTGATGTCTATAGGGCATAGCATCCACTTAATATCAGGTTGACTGTGTGCTTGTTTGTCATCGTATTCTATAAAAAAAAATACATTAGTTTCTAATCCATTTGCTTTACTAAATAATATTACATCTCCTTCAGGAATCACCCTTTCTGAATACTTCCGTGACATGGGTTACAATGTGTCCATGATGGCTGACTCCACATCTCGTTGGGCCGAGGCGTTGCGTGAGATCTCCGGTCGTCTGGCTGAGATGCCTGCCGACTCAGGTTACCCAGCTTACTTGGGAGCTCGTCTGGCTTCCTTCTACGAGCGAGCTGGTCGAGTCAAGTGTCTTGGAAACCCTGACAGGGAGGGTAAGTAAAGCTATTTTTAAATGGAGCATTATTTAAAATTTGAAAAGTTTTTGAATATTCATGAATCCATAAAAATATATTTACTTTATTGGAGAAAAACAGAAATAAAGGATGAAAAAAAAAACCATGTAAAGAAAAATAAACAAAGGTAATTACAATTGTTCCCTTCAAACGGTCTTGCAGAGGACATACATACGTATATTATGAGGCCGATCATAAATTGTTATCGTCTCCATGACATGCATAATATCAAGTATATACATATGTTAACAGGCGGTAAATATAATGAAAACAATCATCTTAAAAGTTAAATGTACAATATGAAATATGCTTATATATCAAATTCGTAATAGTTACTAAAATGTTTTCTTAATTGGGTTTTAAAGCCCAAACGGGAGATGGAGAACACATCGAGGTCGTTAAGCATTTTATTGTGGAGGACCTTCTGTGTACTTGTCTTTAACCATGTTGGTTCTGGTTTTAAAAAAAATTGTTTGATCGAATTTTTTTGGGTGGTATTCAAAAGCTTACCTTGAACAATAACTGTGAACACTTAATCTCATCAACCCAGATATTTTCAAAAGTGGACAATAAAAAATTATAATATTGAACAAGTGGGATGCGAGAAGTAGATTGTGTAAGAATCTCCGATGGAGGCGAAGTTACGAGTATAGCCGAAATAAGAATTTAGAATTTTTTGGTTTTTGATCATTTTGACTCTCTAGGAGTGTGATGAGAACTTTTGCCCCTATTCAACCATGACCCCATGACATCTCTTACATGATAGGCTATTCAAACTGGCTATGCCTAAAGTTCGAGCTACCCCCCAATTATTTGATTTTTGGCCATTTTGACCCGCTAGGAGTGTAATGAGAACTTTTTGCCCCTATTCAACCATGACCCCCATGACATCCTCTACATGATAGGCTGGCTATTAAAACAGACTATGCCTAAAGTTCTAGCTACCCCCCATTTTTTTGGTTTATGGCTATTTTGACCCGCTAGGAGTGTAATGAGAACTTTTGCCCCTATTCAACCATGACCCCCATGACATCCTCTACATGATAGGGTATTCAAACTGACTAGGCCTAAAGTTCGAGTCACCCCCCAACTCATTTCTAGTCTACTTCCAATTACTTCAAATGAAATATGAATGTAAAATATCAATAGTAATTTGCTGTTTTTTTTTGGCAGTAGTTTTTGAGGTGCCATACCATATAATAATATATATCGGTGTTGTGTGGCAGGTTCTGTTTCCATCGTGGGCGCGGTGTCGCCCCCTGGTGGTGACTTCTCGGACCCGGTAACTTCGGCCACGTTGGGTATCGTGCAGGTGTTCTGGGGTCTGGACAAGAAGTTGGCGCAGCGCAAGCACTTCCCATCCATCAACTGGCTCATCTCCTACAGGTGACCTTTAGCTCCTAACTGAAGCCACTTACTCACTTATACCATAATGTACATAGATGTACATGGTTGTACAGGGTAGAACCATGTTACAGCTATATTATGGTTGTAGCCCAGATGGGTCATCTCGACCGGTGAAGGACCACGCTCTCACAGAATACCAGCGTGAAATAGCAGCTTAATGCTGCTGTGTTTCGTGTGGTGATTGTAGAGAATCGGAGACACTTTTTACTGGAAACGAGGCATTCCATTTTAGTCCTCAAAGGTGATGATGCATCTGCATTTTGATTCTTAATCGAGGATACATGTAAATGTTTATGGGCGTCAGCATCCACTTCATCAGGTGGACTGTGTACTCGTTTGTCACCCTAATTCTTTAAATATAAAAATCACTTACACTAAGCTCATCACACTCGCTCACCAGTTCATATCACTCGCTGACTTACTTAGCTCGAATCATTCACTCACACTTGGGTCCTAGCTCACCTGCTTATGGCCTATGGTCAGTATTGCACTGTTATAGGCTGTAATGATGATGATAATCAAATGCAACACTTTTTCTGATTTCAAATACTTTTAAATATTTGTTGTATTTTTAATATTTTATTTTTCTTATTAAGTGTCAACTTGGTAATGGGATTTTATAAAATATAATAAATATTTCTTTTAACAGATGCGTGATTTCCTTTAAAAAAATTAACTCGTTATAATTTTTCACACAGTAAATACATGCGTGCTCTAGATGACTTCTATGAGAAGAACTACCCCGAGTTTGTGCCTCTTAGGACAAAGGTAAGTTTTATTTTTATAAAAACGTATTGGTAGGCAAACAAACTTCCAATCCACCTGATGTACAGCCCATGGACACTCGAAACCAACTGCAAACACAAGACTACAAAGGACAATCGCAGAAAAATAGTTAACAAAAATTATTGCGTCTAGAAATAAGTAGCAATGAGTTATTATTATTAGTTAATGAGAACAAAAGTATATAATGAGTTTTATTATTTTTCTATGATTTTTCAAATAAAAATGTATTTTAATTAAGGCCACAGAAAAAAAAAACAAACATTTTTGGGAATATCAAATGACTATTTTCGTATACACTTTGTAAGACTACCAAAACAGCACACACACACAAAATATTTTTATAGGAAGTTATTAGTAATAACTATACTATCAGTAATAATAAAACTAAAAGTGATATGGTAGAGAATAAGTTTCTTACAAAGAACTTTCTACAATAATACATTATCTCAATCACAGTAATATGTAACAATTCCATTTAATGTTATGGCAAAACTAGCAAAAACAAAATGTCACTGTTTTTTTTTACTGGCTTTACGGCTCTGGGTTCTAGCCCTTCTGAGAATATCACTTTATGACACAAAGGCCTTGGAGTCATGCCAGAAATATACATTTATAGTATGCAAATATATAACAGAGATATAATAATCTAAAAATTCTCAATTATGTAGGTAGGTACATTATGTTGAGAGTGTATTAAGCTAACATCAAACAACCACAGGATGCATGACTTTTTCCAAGTGTCATAAGACATAATCTAAAAAGGTTCAAATCTAAATATCTTTTTTTTGACGCCTTCTCAGGACAAAATTCTTTGACAGAGTTATTAAGGGACTGACGCTTAACATTTTAAGATATGTTTGATATGTAGACGCTACCATTGCTTCTCAACTAATTTTATGTATCAAAGGCTGCCATTGCTCTTTTTGATTTTGATTAAACGGTGGTACCTACTTAAATGAACCTCGAAAGGGACGAGTCTGTATTTTTAATTAATATATATTATATTATTTATTATTACCGTATTACCATCAATGGCGAGTACACCACTCACCTTCGATTTGCTGACGATATAGGCCTTATGGCAGAATTGCTGGAAGACCTACGCACTATGCTCAATGACCTCAATAGTGCCTCCCAACGGATAGGTCTTAAGATGAACATGGACAAAACAAAGATCATGTATATCGTCCAGGTCACTCCTATGCCGGTAGTTGTTGGGAGCACTAAGTTCGAAGTTGTTGAGTATGTTTACCTGGGACAAATAGTCCGACTAGGTAAGTCCAACTTCGACCGAGAGATCAATCGACGGATTCAACTCGGCTGGGCAGCGTTCGGGAGATTATGACACATCTTCTCGTCAGGTATGCTTCAAAACTTGAAAACGAAACTGTACAACCAGTGCGTGTTGTCAATGATGTCTTATGAAACTGATTCGTGTTCCTTCACTGCTGGCCGTATGAGGAAGCTCAAGGTCGCTCAGCGAACTATGGAGAAGGCTATGCTCGGGGTTTCTTTGTGTGATAAACTTAGAAATGACGATATCCGCAGTAGTACTAGAGTGACCGACATAGTCCAACAGATCAGTAAGCTGAAGTGGCAATGGGCCGGCCATATAGCGCGAAGAACCGACAACCGATGGGGAAAAAAGGTTCTTTAGTGGCAGCCTCGTACCGGTAGGCGAAGTGTAGGGCAACCGGTTGCGGTTTACACAGCGCTCAGTTCGCAAAGCCCTCTTCTCCCTGGACATCAGCAAGTCGAGTGGGCCCGATGGAGTCCGTCCCATTGTGCTGAAGACGTGTGCTCCGGAGTTGGCACCGGTTTTAACGCGTCTTTTCCGGTACTCCTACTCCCAAGGCGTAGTTCCGAATTCATGAAAGACAGCTTTGGTCCACCCGATCCCTAAAAAAGGCGACCGCTCAGACCCGTCCAACTACAGGCCTATCGCCATCACCTCCTTGTTCTCCAAAATAATGGAATCCATTATAAACTGCCAGCTCATGAGGTACCTTGAGGATCACCAGCTGATTAGTGACCGCCAGTACGGTTCTCGTCGGGGTCGATCAGCTGGTGATCTTAGGGGGAGGCATTGGCCGTTAGTTTGTATATAGTGAAGGCCTTCGATCGGGTCTGGCACAAAGCGCTTCTTTCGAAGCTTCCTTCCTATGGGCTTCCCGAGAAATTATGCAAATAGATCACCAGTTTCCTTGCTGGTCGGAGCATCAAGGCCGTAGTAGACGGTGCTTGCTGTGAGTTCAAGCTTATCAACGCTGGTGTTCTACAGGGCTGCGTGCTATCACCAACGCTGTTTCTCCTGCATATCAAAGATATGTTGCTTACTGGTAGCATTCATTGCTATGCGGACGACAGCACTGGTTAGCTTTATATACCGGCCGTGCCTATATTTCTCGGGAAAACGTCGCCGAGTACCGGGACAAACTTGTGTCTGAAGTCGAGTCTTTGCTTAACAAAGTCTCGGATAGGGGGCGACTAAATCTAGTCCAGTTCAATCCCCAGAAGACACAAGTTTGCGCGTTTACCGCTAAAAAGAACCCCTTTGTCGTATCTCCTCAGTTTCAAGGCACTCCCCTTGCTGCCTCAGCTAGTATCGGAATCCTTGGCGTCGACATATCGAATAGTGTGCAGTTTCGTGGTCACTTGGAAGGGAAGGCCAAATTGGCCTCTTAAAAAGCTTGGCGTGCTCAGCAGAGTGAGACAGTATTTCATGCCGGCACATCGCTTGCAACTTTACAAAGCGCAAGTTCGGCCCCACATGGAATACTGTTCTCATCTCTGTGCCGGGGCACCCCAGTGCCAGCTCCTTCCACTTGACCGCATCCAGCGCAGAGCGGTTCGAATCGTTGACGACCGAGTTCTTTCTGATCGGCTCGATACACTGGCACTGCGTAGAGATGTTGCATCTCTGCGTATTTTATCGCATCTATCACGGGGAGTGCTCTGAGGAATTGTTCGTACTAATTCTAGCCGCTCAATTACACCATCCCACATCGCGACAAAACTCGCGATACCATCCATACCATCTGGATGATTGGCGGTACACGCCTGTGCGATTTAGAAGAAGTTTTCTCCCTCGCACAACTTCCTTGTGGAATCAATTACCTCTAGCGAATTTTCTGGACCGATACGACTTAGGAACCTTCAAGAAAAGAGCTTACACCTTTCTAAAAGGCCGGCAACGCATCTGGAATTCCCCTGGTGTTGCGGTTGTTCATGGGCGGCGGTAGTCACTTACCATCAGATGAGCCGCATGCTCGTTTGCCCCCCTTCTATAAAAAAGGAACCCTCACTAGATGGAGTGGACAACGAGTGGCTCAGGACCGTGCTTTGTGGCATTCCTTGGGGGAGGTCTATGTTCAGCAGTTGATGTTAAACCTTAATTTAAAGTATCTTACGATATAGCATAAATAAAAAAATAACAATTTAAACTTAATATTTCAGTAAATCTATGTTATATGTTACATATATTCATGTTTATGCCGGGCTTCGTTTTCGCTTCGTTTTCTTTTATGAGCCGCCTTGCAGTAAATTATAAAATCCCCTTTAGAACAAAATACCAGTTCAACTATTATTGAACCATTTAAAGTTTTTTTCATTTTATGTTATCCTTAGTTGTTAAATGAAAAGTTTATAATACAAGCAGCTTTTACATGTACCTCGTATGTAATAAAAACAGATCGTTACACAGAAGAACGAAATGTTTGTTGAACATTGTAATCGGGATTTCGAGAGCACAATTTCTCCATGTATCAAAATGTGTGGTTAACATTTTTATAAATCTTCCCTAAGAAATATAATTCGATTATTTGAAAATATACTAAATGGATTTATTAAAGTCTAAATGCTATTTATATGGCAGCATTGCAAAATGAACACAGTTAACTAAAGTTGAAGTAATTGTAATGTGTATTAATATAAGTATAAAATATCAAAGTAATGTATATGAGAAGAGTTAAATTTATTACAATACCAGTAAAAGTGTGGGCTAAACTTAACAATCAATATTTTATACTCTTTAGGTGAAAGAAATCCTGCAGGAGGAAGAGGACTTGACAGAAATTGTGCAACTGGTCGGTAAAGCGTCTCTGGCCGAGACTGACAAGATCACTCTCGAAGTAGCCAAGCTTCTGAAGGACGACTTCTTGCAACAGAACAGGTGAGAAAAAATTTAACACTATATATATTTTACAAATGCATGCCTGCTTCTGGTTCAGTTGTTTTGTTAAAAATATCATCGTGTTTGCAAAAATCTTAAACACGCTTTCAAAGTATTCCTTCCATCTCTTTAACCTCATCCAAATTCATATTCGTGTAATATAGGAAACATGACAATGAGAAGAGAGGCGTGTTATTCTTGTTATAACTTTAATTAGACTACTCTTTATCGTAAACTTAACTGTAATTATACCTATTGTCGTGGGGGCTACACGTCCGTACATTCCTTTTAAATATAGTACGTAAGGGTAATATGATTATCCGGTTAATATGGTCACTTTCTTATAACTCAAACTCAACTCAAAAATAAAGATATAGTTGTGGTTAGTTCAGGGGATAAGCGTTCGTTATAGATATTACAGCATGCGAGCGTGACAGTGATCCTTGTCCAACAAAGAAATTGTTAATTGCAATTATATGTGTTGATCTACTGCGTGGTCGGGGGTGAAGGAAAACAATTTGAGGAAACTTCCTTCCTTGAGGATATTTCCTTGCCCTAAAACTCAGATTAGAGGGCTGGGCCTCGCTGTGGAAAGTGTTTGTTTTTAAAGGAATTTGAATGTTATCTGTTTTGTTGTCTATCCTGTTTTCCGCAACTCCAGTCCAAGCGCGTGTTTTGCTTGTGTGATTATTCGAGTCAGAAATGTCGTCGAAAAAGTTTAGCAGTAGTTGTAGCAGGTGTCGGATGATGTGTTAACATTTGGTCGATTGGTGCAGCTACTCGTCGTACGACCGGTTCTGCCCGTTCTACAAGACGGTGGGCATGCTGCGCAACATGATCGCGTTCTACGACATGTCGCGCCACGCCGTGGAGTCGACGGCGCAGTCCGACAACAAGGTGACGTGGAACGTCATCCGCGACGCCATGGCCAACGTGCTCTACCAGCTCTCCTCCATGAAGTTCAAGGTCACTCTTTGAATATACGCTCTAATGTACATGAACACCTTCATATACGTAATGCACTACATTTTGATGGACACCCTTAATATACACCACATTTTAATGAACACCCATAATACATACTACATTTTAATGAACACCTTTAATATACACTACATTTTAAAGAACACCTTAATATACGCTACATATTAAAGAACACCTTAATATGCATTACATTTTTAATTTATTGGGGCAAATAAACAATGACACTAAAACATCTGAACATCAATGATGTCAAAAATAATCCTAATTGTGACACAATTACATTTACAGCTTACATACAGAAATAAATAATTATATACGACTCCGTGGCACTCGTTTGTCATCCTTATTCTAAAAAAACATGTATGCGGTTCTAACTGCACACATGTTTTGATGAATGAAATATAAAACAAAAACATTTCACAGCAAGTGATTTATTTTATTTGATAATTTTCAACCGCAAGTGCCGCATAAAATATAACATTTAAGTTTAATTTTATAACAAATAAATGTTACAATGCTTATTTTTAAACATATAGAGCTTAAATTTTAGTGTATTAAATCTAAAGAATATTTTCTTTCGACGAAAATTGCATTGTAATAGTGACTTCTACTAAAGTCAACCAATTTTTGTTCGACAAAATGATTTTACCTATACAGTTAATTCTATAGGTAAAATAATTTTATCGAACAAGGAAACAAGAATTTATTTCCTTATTAATATATTAATATATTAATACTCAAGGTGGTCCGTAAAATAGACTAATTTAATACATATCGGTAAGATCGGCCGCAGGTTCTAATCCCGCACGGAATAAGTTTACAAGCTGTATAGCTTACAAATAATTGTTCCTGGTTTAGATGTTTGTCCTTGTGAAATTTATGTATGTAAACTGCCAGGTATGACCAATAGTTTTTGAGTTATTCTGAATAATTTATATTGAAGTCGATTGTACAAAAATTTTAATTTATTATTTGTACCACTATGTCACAAAAATATCAGTAGTCAGTTATATCAAATCGCGTTTTATGTGTCACATTTATCAATTAAATACAAGTCTCTAAAGTTAAAAAACCATTTTTGTCGTAAACCACCTAAAGTGACTCTATCATTCTTTCCCTGGACTCTTCATATGAGTATAGATTCTATGTCATTCTCCCTATGGGAGTTTTTCGTTTCGTTTCCATTTGTTTCAAATCAGGACGATGCTAAATAATTTTTCAGTTCAAAAAAAGCTCGCGTTAGAGGCGCCTGACTCACCATGAGTGTAGACAACCTGAGATCCTAATAAACCTGAAAGCATTAAATATTACTTTTTGGAGGTCACAACACTTATGCATTTTGATTCCTTATTGATGTGAGAGTATATGGGCCAGAGCCTTTTTTACCGGCCTGCTCGCTTGTTACCGTTACTTTTTTAGGTATCTGATTTCCAGAAGTATATTTGTAGTGGTAGAGCTATATTGTAGTCGTAACACGAATGCCTCAGCTTGACCAGGGTAGGACCACGCTCTCACAGAATACCAACGTGAAATAGCACCTTAGTACTACTGTGTTTCGTATGGTTAGTGTACGGAACCGGATACCCTTTTCATTGAAAACGAGGCATTCCATCTTAGTCCTCAGGGGCGACAATGCATGTATTGTGATTCTTAATTAAGGAGAGATGTAGCTATCTCTGGGCCACAGCATCTACTTACCATCAGGTGGACTGTGTGCTCGTTTGTCACTCTTCTATAAAATAAAGTCGATGGTATATTTTTCACAGGACCCAGTGAAAGACGGTGAAGCCAAGATCAAGGCAGACTTCGACCAGCTATTAGAGGATATGTCCGCCGCTTTCCGAAACCTCGAGGATTAAATACAATCCACAATTACACAGAAGCCGCGCACCGTCGGTCAGCAAAACTCCCGAAATTAGGAGCTGGATTAAAACTAATTACTAAATATATTTAATGTGTTATAATATTATTGTATTATATTGTGTAAAGTGACGTTTCTAGCATCGACACATCGACTTAATTTTAGAAATGTCGATATCGATAGATCTCTATCGACAAACATACGCACGTCACTAGTTTCTTATATACGACGGTACGCCATAATTTAAATTAGGTGTAATTTGGTGCGTTCTTAGTAGATTGTACAGGTTATGAACCTTAAATTGCTCTGGAAGTATTGTGATTGTGTTACGCCATCGTTGAAATTAAAAAAAAATTAGATTAAACTCGTTTTTTTAACGTTTGCGCGCTAGAGGAATCAACCAATCTCTTGTATATATTATAGTTCGAGTTCCACTCCTGCTTACCTCTAGTGCGCGATACGTTAGTTGGTTAGTTGTTATATTATGTAATTATCAAATAAAATGCTATTTATACACAATTAAAAATGAAATATAAATGACTTTAAGTGATTTCTCTTGAATCAATAATCGACCCCTCTTGCATTCCACGTTGTTTTTAGGTTAAAAGAAAAGCACCAGTTGTCAACTAAACGATAGCATTTTCCTCGCTTGCTATTAAAATCTGGTATTTCAGTATTACTATAGCGGTGAAGTCAGCTTGTCCGTGTGTTAATTGTACAAATAAATGAAACCACGCAATAAATTTATCTTGCTGTTTAAAGTTACGTGTTGAGAGGTGAAGAGAGTTATTATAAATATAATAAATATGTAAAACAAAAAAGTTGTTTTATTCATGTAAATTTCTTTCTACCTTATCTATTGTATACATTTTCCAATAACCATAATCATCATTCTAGCCTATTTAAAGGCTACTGCTAAATATAGGCCTACCCCGTAGAATCTTCGACGTAGGTTGTCTGTCAGAAGACCGATATACTGGGTTATTTTTCAAAAAGTAGCCAAATTTTAAACTTAAGTTCAAATATATAAAAATTGATATACCGTTATTGCAGTTTTGGAAAGTACAGGTAAATAAGGCTTCTACTTTTATTTGAAATTATCCTAACTTGATTGTCATATACAGGGTAATTTTTAATTTACTGAAGACCTTTTGGGAATATATTATTTACATCATAACAACAACATCTGTAAGAAAAAAAATTATATTTCTTCAATTTTTATTTTCATACAAAAATAAAAATATTTTAATTGGACCTTCTAAACGGCAATAGTCCTAAATAGCTAAATAAAGCGCGTGGCGGGGTAGGGGTGGAGGGGTGTAGGAGGCGGCGCTTGCTTATTTGAACTTGACCTAATTATCTGTGTCGTCACTCGTCAGTCGGTCAGTCGCCTTTTGTGCGCCCGCGACTTTTCTCCTTCCGTTGTGAGATTAATATCGCGAACGTTACGCGTTGTTACAATAGCATACCGATACTCAAATATTGAGTATACCGAAATGGTGCGAATTTTAGCAATTTGCAATGATAACGTTAGTGAAGCCTGCCGTGAATATTCAAGGCGATTTCCCAACTCACGTACACCGAGCTACGCTACGATGCTAGGTACTACACAGCGATTGCGAGATTACGGGCAATTCCAGCCTATATCAATCGATCGTGGTCGTCCACCGCGGCGCACAGTACGTGAGCAGGAAGACATACTGCAGTTTTTTGAACAAAATCCAGCAGCGAGCACTTATGAGGCAGCCCGACAGTTCAATGTGTCACAGTACTACGCATGGAGTGTCATACACAATGAAGGGAAGTACCCTTTCCACTTGCATCGTGTTCATGAACTCAGCGAAGCTGCCAAACCAACTGGTTACTAGCTGCTAAACGAGCCAACATTTTATGAACTGATGAAGCAACATTTGGCAGAATAGGACTATTTAATTCGCACAATGAACACTTGTGGTGCTATGAAAATCCACATGAACCAAGTACCTAGGTAAGTCTAATTTTTAAATTTGTATTTTAATATTTTTATTGAACCATTATACCTTAATATCTTTATTCAATTACTGTTAATTTGTATTTAATCATTATAAATATTTTATTGTAATATTTGTAATTATTTTAACCTGCATCCATTTTTTAAATACAACTTACATTAAATAAAAAAATTACTTAATAATACTCATTTAATTTGCACGTGTTGCAAACATCGATCACCAAATCGATGCCTGCAAACCGAAAAGGGCAGGCGGCGCCTTTGATGACGGTGACACCTGTGCACAGAATACTTTACTCCTAGCGGAGACACCTGTGTCTACGTTATAATATATCGTTGGCTTGGCCTTGGGCCGCCGCATGTGCGACGTTGAGGCGTTGCCTCTTGGATGCAGGCAGAGTTGCTAGCAAACAGTATTCGTAAAAAACTACCTAAATGTCTATTAAAGAATGTCTATTAATTCTTAAAGAAATTAATAAAATAATCAAATAGTTCATCAAATGGTTTTATGCAAAATGAAGAAGTATATGAAAAGTTAATGTAAAGTTATTTAAAGTGGCACCTTGGTGCAATAGGCACAGTGATGAATGGTTTAGTAGGCTCTCGCAACTAGGGTTACCATATCTCAGGATTTGTCCTGAGATTTCAGGATTTTTAGACTTCTCAGGATTGCGGCTGGATTTTGCAAATCTCATGAAATCTCAGGATTTTTAGAACTTTCAATATAATACAGCTTACATTTTAAAAGATCTCTTAATAATAAGTTAAACAAACTAAAAATAATTTTCCTTTGGTAATAATTCCACAATTAAAATGAAAACTTATTTATCCAAGTAGGTACTTAAACAGTTTTATTATACTTAATATGTGAAGATACCTTTTTAAGTAAGGTTTTCTTCTCAAACTGTAAAACAATCTCAGGATTTTTAAATGGAAATCAGGCCTCTTCTCCGGACTTTTAATTTTTTCATCTGGTAACCCTACTCGCAACGCAATCAGCTGAGCGCGGGCGTCGACCGGCCCTTCGGTCATTCTTACTTATTATAAATTTTAATATTTGTGGTTTTTTTTTTGAATGTCATTTGCTCATTTAATTATGTTTAATGATTTCAACACAATGTTTGATACTGTATCAAGTGTAAAAATGCCTTATTTAGGCATTTTCCTTGACGATTTATTCTGACATTGTTTAGGTACTACAAAATACAGACTTAAAAGGAGTCAGACATGACAACAAAACCTTAAAAGTAGTTTTTTCGTAAATGTATTATATTCTGTGAAGAGTGATCTCACTAAAATTGTTTGTAATGATGTAACCAATATATTCCCAAAAGGTCTTCAGTAAATTAAAAATGACCCTGTATAACAACTACGCGTACGTGTGCTCCTCTGTGTGCGATTCAATTCACAACGTTTTTGCCAACCGAGCGACTGTTACGAATTGGTGCGTGCGTAGTAAAATAGTAGGCGTTAGATATTTATGAATGACAATCACTTAAGATAATGCATTGCCATGCATTTTGAATTTAAAAGATACTCAGACAGACAGGACAGAATAATTGAGATTTGTTTTAATTAATTTTTCTTCATCATTTGTCTATATTGCTTATTCTGAACCTTCTGTATACTATATATCAAAGACGAGGGTTGGACGTTTAAGAAAAAATATGATGCTTCAAACTCTTAGTATTTGAACAGATTAACGTGTTAGTACACGTATACTTTTAGAGTATTTATTAGCAACTTTAAGCGTATACTACAACAATGCCTCAAACTTGAATTCGGATCCGACATTGTTTCGACCGACCGAATATACATTAAGATAAATCACAATAGTCAATAAGTAATCAAACAGACTATTTATAATTATTTACTATTTAACAATATGTTGATACATTTTTTTATAATTTTTATTTACCAACATTATTATTATATATTACTTCATATTTCTAGTAATCAATAAATACTTAATATAATCACTACATTTTAGCAATAAGTATCATCGGAAGTTGTACAGTCAGGTAGGTGTTTGTTTAAATATATCCAGTTTCTCTTCGATAGCTCGACTACCTGGCTGCACATGAATATGGTAGGAGTATTAAATCCTACAGACCCTAAGTTCCCTATACCTAGCAGTCCCTTTTTTTTAACAGGGGGATATGCCTACACATACCCGCCTCGCGAGGGCAAGGACGGCTTATGTCGAACTCGCACCAACTAAAACCCCATGGTGCTCCATCCACCTTCGCCGTATATTGTCAGGGCCATGGTAACGCTTTCGTACACATCCGCGGCACCACAAGCGCTGGCCGCCCCATGGCAGCCTCTCCTCGAGGGAGGAATTCTCCAAGCAGACTCACAAGAGTAATCAGAGGTTCTGACGGTTAAAGGTGTCTTGGGGGTAGTGAGAGGGAGGTCTTATATTTGAGTTATCATGAAGATGCTGTAGTCCATCTGTTTCATTACCATCTGTCGCCTCTCACGATATGGGGTTGTAGATTTTCTTACGCTGTCACTATACGGCAATGTACTATTTATAACATTACAATTAAAGTGACTGTTCAGGAGTGGGCTGTAATTCAGTGTTTCAAAAGTCAACTACTGAACATTTTACCTGGTAAAGCCATGCTGCAGCTATATTATCGTTGTAGCATGATTGAATCGGCTCGAGTAGGGAAGGACTACACTCACAGAATACCACCGTTAAATAGCAGCTAAATAGGACTAAGATGGAATGCCTCGTTTCTAGTAAAAAGAGTCTCCGGTTCTCTACACTCACCATACGAAACACAGCAGCATTAAGCTGCTATTTTACGCTGGTATTCTATGAGAGAAATTCCGGGGAAACTGCCCACGGCATTAAATATTTTTATTGAAAGATCATAGCTCGAAAATATAAATTTTCGATGTGTTTTTTAAGTTTATCGGTAAAGTCACCTGGGATTTTATACATTTGAATAGACAGGTAGGTTCAGCTTATTCCCAGGAACATGTTATATGAATATTTA